TTTGACCCTGTTTCACCCTATTCATTTTGCTTACCCCTACCATGGTTATTTGTCCTACCAAATTGTCTATGTTCAAAAATCTCCCTGTCTCCTTACAGGCAAAGATAATGTATTTTACCTATGCATCTTTTTCATCAAACATCATGCTGGGCACAGAGTAATAAATGCTTTTTTTAAAAATTAATTTATAAGGGAAGATATGAATGTTATAAAATAAAGCGCTGTAACTCTAAAAAGACTAGAAATCTGCTGCTGTAAACAATGCTACTGAATGTTTTAGGCTTCTAGAGAACTTTTTAATAGCTTTGACATTTTTAAAAGGTTTTATTTATTTGAGAGAGAAAAAATATGAGTAGGGGTAGGAGCAGAGGGAGAGGGAGAAGCAGACTCCATGCTGAGTGGGGAGCCTGATGAGGGGCTCAATCCCAGGACCCTGAGATTATGACCTAAGCCAAAGGCAGATGCTTAACTAACTTAGCCACCCAGGTGCCCCAATAGCTTTGACATTTTAAAAGGTATCATAAACTTTTCCTTCTTCCCTGCTAACCTTGGGCTTTTTCTCCTATATATTTCTGTATATCACACTTTATTTTTCATTAAACAAATATTTATTGAATGTTTACTCCGTCCTGGGTTATGTTGCTTAGCAGAAAGACTATGCCAGTAAGATCAGACATACCCCAAAGATCTAGAACATATGATATTTGAAGCATCTATGCATTACTGAGGTGACTTTCTTATTTTTAAACATGTAGAAAATACAGAGAAGAACAGCAATGTAACAAACAGTTGTATATCCATCTGTGTTCATATGTCTGATTTTCCTATCAGACTGTTAGTTCTTTGAGGGCAGTGATGCTTTCATCATCTTGTATCTTGTATGCTTAATGTAGAACTTGGCACATACTGGGCACTCAATGTTTACTGAAAAGACGATTCAGCAAAAAAATATGGCACAACTTGAAGTTTATTTTTATTTAATTAATATCATGTCCTTTTCCCACATTTCCTTTAAAGTCTCTAAAATAATCATGGCACTAACCTCTTCTGTTACAATGTGACATTCCCAATTAACTCCTATGGACATTCACTGTTTTATCTGACTTAAATGCACCTTTTGACTACTCAGATACTTGTATTTACTTCTCTGTTTGCACTTGGTTGTCTGGCTCTACCATGTCTGTTGGTCCTTGTGTCTTCTCGTTACATTGCACTGATAACCTGGGAAGCACTGCAGAAGGGAACGTGTGCTAAGTAAGGGATCTCTACAATAACATGCTTTCCTCCATCAACAAAGAGATTTAGCAAGGTGTTAAAGCAGGAGGAAGACAAGACCATTTCAGTTAATTTTTCTAGAACTGACTTTAGGTCCTGCTAAAGGAGACTTTGTCTTAAACATTAAACTACCTTTATAGGAAAGGGAGAGAATGAGACAGGGAGGGAAGAGGAAGTGAGGGAGACAGAAGGACACCATGTGGAAATAAAGCCAGCTACATTTCCTACTGAATGGAAAGGAATCTCCAAATTAATCTGCTGATGGTATCAGCAGGCAGGCAGGAATTTAACACTGAGGCATGAACCTAAAATGGACAAACGGCACTAATCTGCTAAGCCTCAAGAAAAACCTAGTCATTAATTTTCTTTTTGATGAACTGTAAATGAACAATGATAAAAATACCTACTAAAACAGTTAAAACCAAAACCAAACATGTGTATTTTCTATAACAGTTGAGCTGTGTAATAGATAAATATCTTTAAAGGTGAAATGCCCAGGGTCTAGAAAGGTATAAACTAGCGCTCTTCTTCTGAAGGGCAATTTGGCAATACCTATCAAAAACCTTTACAGTTTTAAAAAACCCTTTGGCCCAACAATTTCAGGAATTTATCTACAAAATTTTACAGTAAGAAAATTCACTGTATTACCAGGTCAAACAGCAAACAACTGCAAACAATCTAAACGCCTACACATAAGAAATTTGTTAAAGGTTGACAGATCCTTACGAGGGAATATTCAAGTATAAAAATACTTATTAAGTATAAAATGACTTATGAAGAGTATTTTTTCATAAGGATTTATCAACCTTTGACAAAGAGGAGAATAAATTGTCTGTTAAATTATTTTTTGGTTGCAGAACTCTTTTTATCCCCAAATGATAGCTACTTACGACCTAATATAAAGAGAAAAAAAACAACAGCAACTGCAACAAAGATGCTCTTTCGAAAGTGAGGATGGGGAACCTGGAACTCATCCTACTCCTAGGAACTTTATGGCTTCAAGGAACATTTTGGATACCACTACTCTTCAAGAACACTGACTGTGGGAAAAAAGATCAAGATTATAAAATGACTGCATTTTTGAAAAAAGAAATTATACATACGTTTATATTCATATATTATACAATGAAGAATGGTTAGAAAGATATACATCAAATGCAAACAGAGCTTATCTTTGAGTGGTGGGTTTATAGGTGATTTGCACTTTTTTATTGCTTGTATGCTTTTTTCCCTTAGATCTATGATGAGCATATATTTTCATTATAAGGAAAATAATATAGTTATTTTTAAAGTTAAATTTTAAAGTTGGATTCTTCTGTACAATAAGTTTTCAATATCCCTTTATTTCAGTTGGTATTTTAAAGTATTAACAATTCTTCAGGTGCTTGCTTAATTGGAGAGAGATGCCATTCATCTGACAATCGAGGCGTTATTAAAATCCAAGTAAATGGGCTCTTACTGGCAAGTTTCTCTGCATCCTTATTACAGATTTTCCTTATGCTAAGTTGTGGGTACCTCCCTATGCTCTGATTCCTGGGCCTTTTCACATGCTGTTCAATTTCTGAGAAATGTTCATCTCCCCAGCTGTCAAACAGTTCCATCATTCTCAGTCATCCTATCTTGGAGACACCTTCCCTGACTATGCTAAGTATTCTCAATCATTGCACTGTTTCTCTCCTAGCACTTAACACAATTTGAATTATATATTTGTTTACTTATTTATTACCTGTCTCACCAACAAAACTGAAGGCAGAGACTATGCCTATTATTTGCCAACATATTACACAATGCCGGCATAATACCTAGCAATTGGCTATAAATATTTATTGACTGACTGAACGACCAAATGTTTGCTAAAATTTGAATTTGGAGACTCACGGAGACTCAATGGTTTAAAAAAAAAACCCAAAACAACAACAACAAAAAAACAACAAAACCTTTCCCACACTCTTGCCTAAATGGGTTGGCAAGATCCTGTTTTCAATACTGTTTAAATTTCTGATAACTTCAGTAATAGCCCAGAGTCACAATAATTGGGCACATTTTATAATGGCTTTATCTATTGATCCACAACTTACAAGAAGCCCTAGGTCTGCAGAGATGCCTGCTTCGGGACTTCTGATCCTTTCTCATGTATCTTTTGGAGAATAAACTTTCTGTAATCCGGGATGAGTAACTGCTGCTTCAGCATCTTCTAAGGCTTCTTCCAGCCCCACTATTACACTAATGAAGGCTAATCTCAATTTACTGATATATATTACATGTCATTCTATACATATACTGATGTGCAGCCATTGAATTATAATAAACCTTTTTGGTCAGGAATGTGAACAGTGTGAACTACTATTTTGGGCACAATTTAAATAACGGGGGCTCCAACAATGGCAAACCAACAGTCTCAGAAGAGCTCTTGCTCTTGCAACTAAATGGAGAACTTAAAAACACCAAAACAAACAGTGTAAGAAAAATAACCATAGAAGGTACCAAATAAGCATAGAGACATAATATTTTAAATACTTCCAAATATTTGGTTTCAAGGCATAAATGGAGCATGTGGGCTTTCCACATCTTCTCCTGCCAAGTCTCAGGAAAAACTGACCATACTACAGTCATCTAAAACAGCTGTTAGGACTGATCTTCAAATATTTGGTTTCAAAATATAGACCTATTTGCACTTTAAAACTCAGATGCCTGCATACTCCCACTATAGCACGGCACTGAGATAATCCTCTCAAAGTAGGCTGCTGGCAAAAACAGATCTGTATTCATGGTGAGCACGGCTTCAACTGGACACAGCAAAATGTTAGCCTAAGTCCTCAAGTCAGCTGTCAGAAAAGATAATTTACCCTGGCACCAAAATACTTCGTTTCTTTCTTTCTTTCTTTCTTTCTTTTCTTTTTTTTTTAAAGGCAGGGGCTCAATTTCACTCATCATTTAAGGTTAAAGAAAAAGCACAAATGTGAAATGTTAAGATTCTAGAAACGAGGAAAAAGTTTATGTCCACTTTGCTTACAACTGTTGCCTTCCTTAAACTAAGTTTCTTGTTTAGCATATTGTTCTTGTGGGTACTTAGATATAAACTATCAAATCTGCCTCACTTTGGGCTGCTGTAAGGTCTAAGCCACAGGAAAAGATCGTAGTCCAGAAAAAAACCTTTCCCACACTGTGGTATAATTGTATTTATTTTCTAGGACTGTATACAAGCATGGATATCCAGTTGTAGTCCTACATTTCTGACAGTTATCTAATACTATAACACTCTAGAGATGATAGGGGATACACATAGCATCTTTTGCTCTTCTGAGCAGACATCAATTCTGATCGATCAATTTTAACTGGCCTGATTTATCTTATCTTTTCTTTAAGATGGCAGTCATTGTAAATGCCTATAACTTTATGAACAATATTGTTTTATTTCCCTTCAAATCTTATCATTTAAACCTTGTTCCTGAAAGAAGCACTTGAAAAAAAAAAAGGCAGGTGATAGTATAACTGGGAAAAGGAACTATATTTGGCACCTTACAAAATAATAATCCATAGCTAACTAATTGGAATTAAAAATTTAAAAATCTATAAAAAACAAAAATAATGAAACAGTCCAACTTCATCCTATTTTTCTGGTGTTACACAAATGGAAAGCAAGCATTCCTCCCTTGCAGGCAGCTCTAGGGAGGCCCCAGACCAATTAAATTATAGGTAGATAAGAATATCCTTCTCAACCTTACCTCTTTATGCACCTTCCAACTGTCTACCGTCACATTGAAGAGAGCTTTGAGGGCCTCAATGGCACAGTCTGTCTCCTGAGGTGAGAGAGGAGGTCCATTATGGTCTATGGCCGATTCATATTCATCGGTCCACTTGATGCTAAAGGCACTTTCCAAGATCTGGGTTAGCAGCGGTAGTCCCTGGAGCTCATAGCGCAATTGTGACCTGATGTCAGTGTGCAAAAGTGACAGGAGGAAGAGCAAGCGCAAGTCAAAGCACTTAATGTCATTGATAAACTTTCGGTCCTTGCACTTTCTCAGGAGGTTACAGAGCTTTGCAGCAAGGTTAAGTTCCAGGCTGAGCTGCTGTGCCATCTGACTGTTGAACACTATGTTACACAGACATTTTAATGACTCCACAATAACTGGGAACTCTGACACCTTCTCCAAAGAATCATCCGACTCATTTAGCTTGGCTAATCGCAGCAGTATCTGCATATTTTCCTTGGTTGTTACAGGAACTAAAACCTTTTTGTCTCTGGAGAGAATGCGGAGAACTTCCAGGCAGGACACTTGACATGTTGTTGGGATGTCCTTTACAAGGACTTTAAATATGCCTTCACAGAGTTTCTGAAAAACAAGAACGAGTATGCAAAAATCATTACTTGGCTTAAATGATTTAAAACAGAATACTTCTCTACCAATGTATGTAACAGCAGTCAGATTCTGGCTAGAAAAGATTTTTTTTTTTTTTTTTTTAAGCCACAGAATATTAGAACTGAAAGAGACCTTATATTTGCTGCACTTCTTCCACTTACAGATATGGAAACTAAAGAACAGAGAGGCTGTACTGGGCCAGAGTGAATCAGTCAGGTCTTACATAGCTTTGTTCTCAAGAGATTTTTAATATCAGACTACATATAATATCAGGATAAAGGAAATTAGTCTGAATCACAGCTGATGGATCCAAAGTGTACACATCTGTCTTGCATTTTTTGAAATATAATTACTCCTATCATTGCTAAATTTAAGAACCACTGATCATTCTTTCAATATTCAATGTCCAGCTTTCTTGTCCATAAACTGCAGGTCTAGATCTCTCAAGCTCCTACTTTATATGTGAAGCAAGCTGGTATAAACTATTCTATTGCTGGCCATTTCTGTACCTGTTACATTTTATAAAAATAACAGCAACAACTAGGACTAACATCAGATTTTACAAAGTTTGTGTTTACCTATCATCAGACCTTAACTCTTAAAAGAAGCTATCTGTGGGTCAAGCATTTATGATCTTGGTAAGAATCCCAGGCTGTATGTACCTTCTCAATACATCCTAGTTGTACAGCTATGAAGTGCCAACTCTAAATGTACAGTTGACCCTTGAACAACAGGGGTTTGAACTGCACGGGTTCACTTACACATGGATTTTTTTCGATAAATACAGTATAGTACTGTAAATGTATTTTGCCTTTCTTGTGATGTTTTTAGTAACACTTTTCTCTAGCTTACTTTATTGTAAAATACAATAATATAGACTACAATAATATAGAACATATAAAATACGTGTTAACTGACTATGTTATTGGTAAGGCTTCTGGTCAACAGCAGGCTATGAGTAGTTAAGTTTTTGGGGAGTCAAAAACTGCACGCAGATTCTTTGACTGTGCCGGGGACTAGCACCCCCCTAACTTCCACATTGTTTAAGGGTCAGCTATACTATGTTCTCTAGATGAAGGGGGGAAGGAAATTACCTATAAAAAAAATTTTATAACAATGTCAACTCTATCCCTGCCATCTCTGATAACTAGAAGGAACTTTCATTCAATGTCTTATTATCATCGTTAAAGCATTTTTTAAAAAAATGAACACAAGTTTGGGGGGTGGGGTAAGTATAATGTGCCCATTATAGAAATATAAAAAAACAGGGAAATCTTTCTCCAATGTCTGATCTATGACATCCAAGAAAAACAAAAACAAAACCATATTCTATGTACTACTTCCCATGTAGCATATTCCTGGGGGTGGAGTCAGATAACCTTTGCTCCCACATAACTTCACTCAGGAGAGAAATCATCTACATTGCTGTTTAAGTTAAGAAACATGTAATAAGTAAGGTATTATAAAATATCATATATGTGAATTTGGAGTGCTACATATGGAATTAAAAAGACACCTTTACCTCCTTCCTTTTTAAACCAAAGAGAACAGCAACAATAAAATATAATAAATAATAAAATACAAAATACAGACAATATGGGTCCTTTCTTGCTCCACCTTCAGACTTGAGAAAGAAAAAGAGCAAAGCATGAATACAAATAGGAATAGGCAAGGCTATCAATCAAACGGATTGAAACTCTCGGACATACAAAGGCTACATGGAAGAGATTAGAGAGCCCGTACAATCTACCTCATCTATATTTCCAACCAAAGACAAGGGTTCTAGTTTAAAGCACAGTTTTCAATCATAATTGTTCTTAAACATGCCATTTCTTTTTATAGATCTGCCTCACATAATGATCGTTAGGTAGCTTTTTGCTATAATTTTAACATATATTTGAAATTACACCACTTTTTGGATAATGACTCTTTCCTCCCTTTTTTTTTCAATTACAACTCAAAAAAAAAAAAAAATCAAAGACATACCTAAAATACAAAAGTGATACTTAATAGACACACTCATTGCCTCACTCAATATAATCATTTTAAGTCAGAGAATAGTATAAAGAGCAAATTAATAAATCATGTACATGTGGATGAATCAGAAAAATTTTGTTTTGCATATGTACACCAGTCAAGAACACTGAAGGAGCATTCTTTACACTTTCTCCATCTGCTGAGTGTGTGCTCTACTTCTGTGTTTCAAAGGTACTCTTGTATTTCACCTTTATTTTTGCTCTAAGAGTATTTTTCTGTGCTGTAACTATTTTTTTTCAATTGATTTTACTCTTCCTAAAACATGCTCGCCTCTCTTCAAACACTTTCCACAGCTCCTCCTTGCCTGCAGTATGCAGCCGAAATGAGCCCACTGCTCCCCTTTCTACTGTCTTCTCTTCCTCTTTTTGCAGGTACAATAAAGTGTCATTACATTATATGTTAGGTACAGACTGTTTTTATTTACTTTCACCAAAATATTTATACAAACTTGTTTTCATTGTTCAACTGACATATATATATTTTTAAAGATTTTATTTATTTATTTGAGAGAGACAGAGAGACAGAAATAGTGACAGAGAGCGTGAGTGGGGAGGAGAGGGAGAGGCAGGCTCCCTGCCTAGCAGGGAGCCTGACGTGGGGCTCGATCCCCGGACCCTGGGATCATGACCTGAGCCGAAGGCAGACGCTAACCAACTGAGCCACCCAGGCATCCCCAACTGATATATATTTTAATCTGAAAATTATTTTGGTACCTAAAGTTATCATGGAACCCAATTTTTTCCATCAAAATTAATGGAAATATTTTCTGATTTAATCACTTTCACTTAGTGGTCTGGTTCTCTGTAATGAACTAAAGTCATAAAGCAAAGTCTAGGTATGCTTACAAAGTATAATTACTAAGAATCAAAGAGTCTGAGAAAAAGCCCTTTTAAAATGCTCACTAGCTTAGCAAGCCATGGCTATTTCTATAAAGTTAGACTGCAAATCCAACAGCATAAATTCAAGAGTAAGATCCCAAATGGTTCCCCAATGTTAATACTACTACTGCCAAAAAAGGTTAGTTTGCTCCTGAACTGAAACCCATGAGTCTACAATAGCAGTGGTTCTCAAACTTCATCATGCATCATAATCCACTAAAGGGATTGTTAAAACACATTGTTGCACTTTACCCCCAGAATTTCTGATTCAGTAGGTCTCGAGTGAGGCTCTAGGATTGGGACATTTCACAAGTTCCTAATTGCTGCTGATGATTCAGGAGCAACACTCTGAGAACCACTGAACTATGGTTAACAATGGACTGACATAACTTGGATGTTAGAGGGTAGGGGTTAACTGAGAGCAATGGACCAGATAAGCATAGAAAAGTAGGCAGAGTTGAAAGCCATTAGCACAAATACCTTAACTTCTTGACTGTCCTGAAGATGTATAAGGGTGGCAGGGATAGGAATGGGGTGTCACTGTCTGGTCACCTTACTTTTCTTATCTTAAATATTAAAAACTACTCCAGCGGTGAAGTATACTACTTGTTTAAGGTCAGTGGTCCTGGGCTTGAAGTTTGTTCAACTTACCATGGACTCTAGAACCAGAGCAGTGTTGTGATTAAGGGCATAGGTTCTGGATTTAAATTTTTTGTATTCAAACCTTGGCTCTTCTACCATCTTCTGACAGTGAGACTGTGGCAAACTTGGCCTCCCTGGGCCTCATTTACTCTAAGAGTTAAATGACGTCCACATGTATAGCCCTTAGAATAGTGCCTGGCATGTGGCAAGTGTTCAGTACAGGTTTTACATATTATTATAAGGTAACATCTCAAAGTCCACAGTTTAGCATCTAAGATCTTCCAACCTGCTTTTTCAGGTTTCTCTTTTATACTATGCCCCTATCAAACCCTCCTCTGTAGCTATATTCCTTTCCAAATTATCTCACACTGAGCTCTTTTGCTTTCTTACTGCCTCCCCTCTACTTGCATCAGTTCCTCTTCCTCTTCGACTATTCACGCTTTAACCATTCTCCAAAGCTAACCTTAAAATTCACTTTTGATATAAATTTTTTATAACCACTTCAGCCCCTAACATTCTTCCTCTCCGAGGAATACCCAAACCCCAATCTGTAGCAATCATTTGGTGCTCAGCACATTCTTCCTGTTACTACTAAAAGCTCTCTAATGACAGAAAGTTCTTTTTTTTTTTTAAGACACAAGAAAATATATACTGTAGTGGCTTTTGAATCAGAAAGAGCTAGGTTTAACACCAGGTTTTGTTACTGTGTAATTCAGACATGCTATTTAACTTCTTTGAGCCTCACTTTCCCATTTGTAAACTGGGAATAATATCACCTATATCGCATAAGGCTATTGTGAAATAGACTCTGGGATGTAGTAAGTACTCTATAAATGGTGATTATGATGTTTTACTTCTTCATAATCCTTTTAGCCCTCAGTAGAGCAACTAGCACAGAAGTTAGCACCTAAAATATAAATGGACTAGATTAAGTTCTTCAAATCTAAAGAATTAGTAGAGATCTATTAATGTTGTCTTGACACTTCTTTCTAAGAAGGAAAGAGTAGTAGTAAAGGCTATTTTGTGATTGGACTAGTAAGATGGTTTTCCCCATTGGGTAAAAAAGTCTTTCTATATGAGCAGCAGAACTTACATTGGTCTTCATATAAAGTTCTTTTTTTCTGAAGAGTTTCAATTACTTATATATATATGTACTAACACACACACACACACATATATATACACACACATATACGTACATATATATGTGTGTGTTATTTTTTTAAAGATTTATTTTAGAGAGAGAGTGCACATGTACACCCACGTGCATGAGGAGGGAGAGGCAGAGGGAGAGAATCTCAAGCAGACTCCCTGCTGAGTGCAGAGCCCACTCAGGGCTTGATCCCATGACCCTGAGGTCATGACCTGAGCTGAAACCAAGAGTCAGATGCTCAACTTACTGAGCCACCCAGGTGC